CACCAATATCCAACACAGCTCCCCAGCTCCCTGGGAATGTACCATGCCCCCTGCTTGGGGGAGAAAGCTGCATTCATACCTCTTCTTTCTTACTAGTTCTGTGTCTTGTGGAAACCTCTGTGCCTCTAAGGGCCGGCCCAGGCTCCCAACCTGCCCAATGAGGGTGATGCTCGACACCATTTCCTCAGGAAGTCAGCAGGTGTAGATGCGACAGGGCCCCTAACACCTGTAGATTGATGTCCCATGAATCTGATACACAAAGGTAGAGGTGAACGAGTGACAAGAATGAGTGGGCCACAGCATGGAACACTAGACAAAACAGGCCTGGAGTCCAGCGTGTCATCTTAGGGAAGTCACTGCTCATTTGGCCTCATTTTCAAGTCTGCACCTTTAAGGGTTTGAAATCACAGGAAATTCAGATGTTCTCACTCACTGGCCTAAAACCTCACAGTGGTCTCTGTTAAACTTAGCATCAGACCCAGTGCCTCATGTGGGTCCATGTGGTGGGAGCTTTCACAGTGGCTTTGAGGGAGTCCAGCCTCCTGGTGGGAACATCCTTGTGTGTCCGCTGGGTGCTCAGTAACTGGCTTCTGAACAACATAGAGTCATTCTCTGGTACTTTCATTCTTTATATATATATAAATTTTATTGATTTTTTACAGAAAGGAAGGGAGAGGGATAGAGAATTAGAAACATCGATGAGAGAGAAACATCGATCAGCTTCCTCCTGCACACCTCCTACTGGGAATGTGCCCGCAACCAAGGTACATGCCCTTGACTGGAATCGAACCTGGGACCCTTCAGTCTGCAGGCTGGCGATCTATCCACTGAGTCAAACCGGTTAGGGCTGGTACTCTCATCCTTGATGTCCCTTCCTCTCCTCCTGATTTCACTTTGTCTCTGTGTCTGTGTCTCTGTCTGTCTGTCTGTCTTATCTCTGGAACAAGGAGAACAAGCACCCATGTGTTGAGCTGCCCTATGTAGAGGCCCCACAGGAGAAAACTGAGAAAGTGCCCAGGCAAACAGGCAGGAACTCGGGCTCTCAGTCCAAACTGCATCCTGACAAAAACCACACGAGTGACCTTGGGAGGCAATCTGTCCCCAGTCGAGCCTCAGCTGAAACACATCTCCTGCTTCACAGACACCTGGAGGAACAGATTCCTTTGAGAGTGGGCCTGTGAAAACTTTGAGGCCCCAGATTTGAGTCTGAGTTCTGGTCCCACCCCAGTCATCTCAGGGTCCTGGGTGTGGGCAGTGCTTCCTGTCCTGGGCCCCTGCTCCACTTGCTGACCTTCAGGGCCTTGGATCAGGGAATGGTCAGGCTGTGGGACAGAGACACACCCAGTCAGATCACTCAAATGACAATTCAGCGGCCACTTCTCTCAAGTTCCTAAGTCCACAGGCACCTCCTGCCCACACCCTCCTCACACACACACTGTCAGTCAACCCCAAATGGTGGCTCCTGGGAAGAGACCCTGGCACCCACCCCGCTTATCCTGACCCCAGTGAGCCCCGTCCAGGAACACATCTAAAGACAGCAGGAGAACACATGTCCATCGTGGTGGCACCGACACAGTGATGGGTTCCCTCACACAGACTGCAGCGCCCATTCTGCTGGAGTAGCTGGCCCTCTGCTCTGTGGGCTCTGCAGCAGCAAGTGGCTGGGCTGGGGATGCCCACGGAGCTCCCTGTGGCCTCTCGGAGCTGAAGGCGCCTGCGGCCGCAGCCACAAGAAATCCATCCTCAGTCCTAAACCTGCAGGAAACCGAATTCTGCCCATGACGGGGCTGAGATTGGAAGCATCTCCTTTCCTCCGAGACACTCAGGGAAGACCAGTCTCAGCCAAAACCTTGGTCTCATGAGCCCCGATTCACTTACGCCATGCCCTGCTCCCGACTGCAGAAGCTGTCAGACATTCACGAATGTGTAGTGTCAGCAGGCCAGTGGGGATATGGCTCCACAGCAAGAAATGACTAAGCCACGTCCTTCATGAAATCTGGTCCCGTCCACCCTGTGGTGCCAGCAGAGGGGGGGGCGGTGCTTCAGGGGGTCATCACCTGTTTTAAACCTTTGGAGGTTAGAAACTACCATAATCCCCCATTCTAAAATTGGGGGAAACTGGGTCTTGGAGACCCAGTTATACAGACACAGGGCCTAGAGCCCTGAATTTTCTGCAAATCAGGGATCTTCCTCATCCTCTTCCTGACAGCCCAACTGTATCTCTCTGTGAATTTCCCATTTATATCCTAAACTTAGGTTTCTGTGTGTGTGCTCATTTTAGACTTTAAATTATCTTCGCAATTTTTGTGGGCTCTTTTGATATTGAAGATACTAATCTTCTATTAATATTTGCTGCAGTGTACCTATTGGTGTTCAGTTTTAAATTTGCATACGGTGGCTGTGTCAGAGTGTAACTGCTCTAAGTGTACATATTCTGAACCCTGCTCGCTGGACTAAGTGTTGGAAGCTCTCACTACTCCATCCTGCCTGCTGGTCCAAGTGTGGGAGTACAGGTCCTGATCTTGCCCTATTACACTAACTGTTAGGTCCAAGCTCTCTGCCAGGGGCTGGACGTCCTTGGTCGCTGGGTGGTAGACGAGGAAGCCATGAGAAGTTGTGGGTATATAAGAATGAGTCTTTATTCTGGGAGCCATCAGGCAAAGCAGTTCTTCACAACAGTTGCATATAGGTAGAAAGTCACACACCAGCTAGTTAACAAATACATCTTTCCCAAAAAGCAGTAGCAGCCTCTGTACCTACAGCCTCACCTAGTAACCCCACGCTGCCTCTAGAGCTAGTGCCTCACATAGCAGCAGTACCTGAGCTCTCTAACCCCACTAGACTCAGTAGCCTCTCCCTCTAGCCTTTGTCTCCTCTCTCTTGCCTCTAGCTACTCAGTAGTATGTATGATTCTACTGAGAGGTTTCATTCTAAGTAGTGATCTTGATGTACACGTACATAGTCCTTGGACACCCTGATGAAGATTCCTATGCTCAGAGTGGCTTTGGCCATCTGGCGTACTGTAGAGAGGGCCTTTCACACTCTAATTAGCCTTGAGCATCTGGTGGCTCTAGCATGGTTCCCACAGGCTGCCACACCTATGTCAACGTCCCACCTACAGAGAAAGGCAGAGTCACAGAGGAGCTGGACCAAGACCCACCTTTCGCTCCATTTGGAGGAAACTGGACTGGTTCAGCACCATGATGATTGCTAATCCATAGCAAATCACTGAAGAACATTCTCAACAGACAGTGGTACAAACATCTCTCAAACATCTCTTCAGCCCAGCTGGTGTGGTTCAGTGGTTGAGCTTTGACCCATGAACCAGGAGATCATAGTTCAATTCCGGGTCAGGGCACATGATTGATCCCCAGAGAGGGTAATGCAGGAGGTGGTTGATCAATGGTTGATTGATGGTCCTTTCTCATCATTGATGTTTCTCTCTCTCTCTCCTTCTCTCTGAAAAAAAAATCTCTTTTCTATGTCATTTCCCTCACTAGCATGAGACTGTACATGCTGCTTTCACACATTCCCTAAAGCAGTGGTTCTCAACCTTCCTAATGCCGTGACCCTTTAGTACAGTTCCTCATGTGGTGGTGACCCCCAACTATACAATTATTTTTGTTGCTACTTCATAACTGTAATTTTGCTCCTGTTATGAATCATAATGTAAATATCTGATATGCAGGATGTATTTTCACTGTTACAAATTGAACATAATTAAAGCATAGTGATTAATCAAAAAAGCAATATGTAATTATATATGTGTTTTCCGATGGTCTTAGGAGACCCCTGTGAAAGGGGCATTCGACCCCCAAAGGGGTCTCGACCCACAGGTTAGCAACCCACAGGATGAGAACCGCTGCCCTAAAGGAATAGGAAATCAATAATAATTAAAATCAAATTCCTCTCCCCCCAAGTTATTGAAATGCCAACATAACATACATTCTAGATTCTAAAAACTAAATTTCTACAAAGTTACCCACTTGGAAGGAATTTATACCAACTTTCTATGCTGGGTTAGGAATTCTACAAGCTTCAAAATGTTTCAGAAACAACCAAAGCTTAATTCACCTTTTTCACGGGCTGCCTAAGACATAAAAACATAGATGAAACAGTATGAACCAGTTCAGTTTATAAGCTCATACCAGGTCCTTTTTAATGGACAAAGTCACTTTATACTGTAGACTAAAACACTCCTCACAAGAAATAAATGGAAGCACAGCGGAGTCCCTGTGTACAGTAGTTGCAGAGCTCATGATGATGTGCAAACCCCATCCAGTTAAATTGCACCTGACTGATGAGGTGGTAGCTGGTGCTTAAGTCCCCTGAGTAACACATGTGATGGGATGAGCTCAAATCCCACCCACAGCACTTGAGCTCAGGAAGCCTGTGTCCCTGAGAGAGAAACAGATAAATGAGCAAGTTCAACCATTCAAGGGCCTTTCCTGCTCAGAACTTTATCCCACTGTCAACTGTCAAAGGCGACTGGGGCCCATTGAGGGACCTGCTCCCCTACTGTCCTGCCCACACTACACAGACAAATAAATTTGCCTTAGAGAAATGAAAGGACAGTGTACGACCATCCATGTAAGAACTGTGGGCTCTCTGGTTTGCCACGAGGCCCACAATATATACCACATCTTTCAAGCTATTAGACTATGGAGAGGTTTAACTACTATCACAGACCCACACCCACTGGCTCAATACTTCACATGATGTTCAGCTAATCCAAGTTTCTGGTGTTCCCTTTAAAAAATCACCACTTGGGCCGAGGCCAGTTTGGCTCGGTGGATGGAGCGTCGGCCTGCGGACTGAGGGGTCCCGGGTTCGATTCCGGTCAAGGGCATGTACCTGGGTTGCGGGCACATCCCCAGTGGGAGATGTGTGGGAGGCAGCTGGTCGATGTTTCTCTCTCATCGATGTTTCTGACTCTCTGTCTCTCTCCCTTCCTCTCTGTGAAGAGTCAATAAAATATATTTTTTTTAAAAAAATCACCACTTGTGGAGAAACGGTCCTTCAAGGTGCCTCTGGGAAAGGGAAGACGCTGTGTTGTTCTAGCAGATGGATTCTATGAGTGGCAGCGATGTCAGAACACAAGCCACAGGCAGCCATACTTCATCTACTTTCCTCAAATCAAAACAGAAAAGTCAAGCAGCATTGGTGCTGCAAGTAGTCCTGAGGACTGGGAGAAAGTTTGGGACAACTGGAGGCTACTAACAATGGCCGGGATCTTTGACTGCTGGGAGCCACCACAGGGAGGAGACTGCCTGTATTCCTACACCATCATCACAGTGGATTCCTGCAAAGGCTTGAATGACATCCACCATAGGATGCCTGCCATATTAGATGGAGAGGAGGCAGTCTCTAAATGGCTTGATTTTGGTGAGGTCTCAACTCAGGAAGCTCTGAAGTTAATCCAGACCTCAGAAAACATCACCTTCCATCCAGTCTCTACCGTGGTGAACAACTCCCGAAACAACACTCCTGAGTGTCTGGCTCCTGTTGGCTTAGAGGTCAAAAAGGAGTCCAAGGCAAGTGGCAGCAGCCAGAAGATGTTGCAGTGGCTGGCCACAAAGTCACCCAAAAAGGAAGACCCCAAAACACCCCAAAAGGCAGAGCCAGATGTGCCCCAGTGGTCCAGCCAGTTCCTGCGGAAGAGCCCATTCCCTACCAAGAGAGGAGGTGCAGGATGTCTGGAGCGATGGCTGAAACAGGAGAAGGAGGAAGAGCCAGTGGCCAAGCGACCTCACAACCAGTAATGCAGGACTTTGAGAGACCAAGGTCATGGTTTGCTGTACTAAATACTGTTGCTGATAACAGATTCTTTCATTGTGTGTATATGGATTTGCTTTGGGAGGAGGTAGCACAGTGTTAGTTAACAGCTGTGGGTTCATAGGGGAGTGGCTAACCTGGCTGGGACCAAGAACACACAGAGGGGATATGGGAGCCTGGAAGGGGAGCGTCCACCTCCATCACCTCATAGGGGTTCACTATGCCTGCAGCCCTATCTTGGTAGGACCGATGGAGCCTTCCTCAAAGCCTGATCCTGCTGGCAGTTCTCAGCACCTGACCTGGTGCTGCTTAGCCTTTGGGCTCTTTCAGTGTTTTGGAATTAAGTTCTTAACACATTATTTTTTTCTGAATAAATTAAATTTTATAAACTCAAAAAAAATAAAAAAATAAATAAAAAAAAAAATAAAAAATCACCACTTGGCAAGGTCCCTTAATTAGAACCCACATTCACAAGGTGGTCTCTGTCTCTAGGAGAGAGGGAAACCCTTGGGTATAAATTGTCCGTTACCTGGCCCATAACCTTTAGAACCCGAGGTCTGGCTTTGTTTAGTTTCACAATACATGTAGCTGACATCCGATTTGAGCTTGTTTTTCTTCTTTAAAAAAGGTGTGTTTTGTTGTTTCGTTTGCTGGTTGTCACCAATCACTAGCCAATAGTAAGCTTTTCTGGTATTCCTCAGTAATGCACCATATGGTGTTCCCTTTTTAGCTTTTCACTTGTTTTATTTACTTTTAGCATCCCCCATCCCTGGTAGCCACTAATCTGTCCTCTGTGTCTATGAGGTTACTTGGTTTTTTAATTCCACATATAAGCCAGATCACATGGTATTTGTCTTTCTCTGTCCAACTTAATTCACTTAGCATCATGCCTTAGAAGACCATCTATGTTGTTGCAAATGTGAAGCTTTCATTCTTTTTGATGACTGTATTCAAGGCCTGGTGCATGAATTTGTGCAGGAGCCCATTGAGCCGGGTAGGCTGGGGGGTTAGGGGCTGCAGGTGGTTAGCTGACCAGCCCTGCCCCCGATCGGGGTGTTGGGAGCCAATCAGGGGCCTGCCGGCATGGGGCAGGGGATGATCTGGGCCAGGATCAGGCTTGTTGGCTGCCGCAGTATGCATCATAGCTACTGGTCTTTCTGGACATTCACCGTTCAGGTCACTGGGCTTTTAGATATATAGAATATGCTCTACAGTATATAGGTACCACATCATCTTTATTGAATTATCTTTTGATGGACACTTATGTTGCTTCCATATCTGTACTATTATATGAAATGTCGCAAGAAACACAGAGGTACATATATCCTTTTAAATTAGTGTTTTGGATTTCTTCAAGTAATCAGAAGTGAAATTGCAGGGCATATACTAGTTCTAGTTTTAATTTTTTTGAGGGACTTCCATACTATTTTTCATAGTGGGTGCACCAATTTACAATCCTACCAACAGTGCACAAGGGTTCCTTTTTTTCCCACATCCTCACCAATACTTGTTACTTCTTGTCTTTTTGATAACAGCCATTTTGGCAGTGGGAAGCGATATATGTTGGTTCTGAATTGTACTATTTCCCCCTTGATTAGTGACATAGAGCATCATCCAAAATTTAATTTTAAATGCTACTGAATAAGCAGCACTATATGTAAAATGGAAATACTACCATTCTTATTCCTCAAGAAATAAAATTATATTACACAAAAATATCAATTATTTTACTTGTAAATACAAGTCTTTTAAGAAAAAAAAAGATCCAGAGTCACTGAGAACACTTTGGAACCAGAGCCCAAAATGAGGGCTCAGCTGGGATATTTATATTTTGCTAGTTATCTATGCATATTCCCAAAGCAGCCTCAACTATCACCTCGATCCCACAAACCTTCATATCATCCTACACACAACATTACCTCCTCACCATTTGTCTTTTTCTCTGTTTTACCTTTAGTTCAGAGCACGCAGCACATCCTGATTTCGCATTATGCATGTGCTGGCTGGTTTGACTCTTTCATGCAAACATGCCATCATGACAAGCTCTTTGGATTGAGCACTGCGTTTCTAGTGCCTGGCCCATAGGAGGCACTTAATACATACGTGATAAAGGAGCCAGAGAATGAGTCTACAAATCTCATGAGATCCCAATCAAAATTCCAAGGAAATTCAATCAAATGATTCAAAATTCATACATACTAAAATTTAGAATATCTGTAACTTTTGAAACTAATTTTATTTGCAGGAATTGATTCAAAACGAATTGAATAAATGTTTAGAGGTACCTATACAATGATGATCATCATAGCAGAAAACAAAATGATTTCACATCCATTAACTACAGCCAAATGATATGATTTATGATGGAGCAGGACAAAAGATACTAGAAGGTATAATATTCCAGAAATATTTTTATATTAATAGAATACATTATCAAAGAGTGATATAACATAAAATGGTTTATAAATATAGGTAAGTATATATTTATATATACAGTGAGCATATCTGAAAGGATACATATAAAGATATGTATAATGATTTCCAACATAGTGTGTGAATGATCACTTATTTTAAACTTTTCTCTTTTCCACCTATACCCATGAAATATTTGTGCAATAAGAAAAATCTACTTTTTTGAAAAAGAAAAAATTGTACCTAGTCCAATTGCTTTATTGTAAAGGTGAAGAAATTGGTCTCAAGATATAAATTATGGATGTATTTGAGTATTGAAGGTGGGGATAAATATGTGTGTCCAGTATAATCCTCTGGAAAGGAGCACCGAGGTTGGTTTTGCCTAAAAGTGGGCAGTTGTTTTAATTTTTTTCTGAACCAAATTGTATTTATAAAAATAAATCCATGCCTACAATCAAATTGCATTGTGGCAAGACACTGGGTCAGAAGCAGATACACTCAACTAATTGTATCACAGAACATTAATGCAATAAAATTCAGACACACAAATATGTCAGATCTGTTCCCTTCTTCACCCTCACACACGTTTTTTTGAGTATTCCGCTTTATTCCTTTCTCAGCATATCCTTAGGACACTCAGTCGCCTGGCGCTCTGCTGACGATTTATATTTATTTCTATTTCCACTCCATTCCATGTCATCTTGTCCATTCTTTAAGCTTCTTGCTGTGCTGTTTTCTTTATGTTTTTCTCCTCTTTTAAATCATGTACTAACATAGCTGAAGAAAAAGATTTATATTAATGTCATGAAAAAAGTCACAACTTCCTAAATTGTTTTGGTTCCTATAGTTTTTTCTGGTTTTCATGTAGAATTTCATTGCTGGCCATTACACATATCCAGGAAAATATAAGGTATTTGTTGTGTTACCCTTAAAAAGAATATTTTGTATTTCCTGACATCATTAAACTTTTAGCTAAAACTTAAGAGTTTCCAAAATGAGAGATTTTGGACCCAAACATGTTTTCCATGAGGTCAAAGGCCATAAAAATGAGCTCATGTTAAAAATCATTTCCACTTCTGCTGTCAATCATTCAATGACTTCCGTTTGTCTCAGAATAAAAGTCTGAGTGTTCCACTGGCAAGACCGTATGTAACTGCAGGACAGAGTGGCACCGGTGAGTTCCCAGGAGCCACAACTCAGGTGTCCCTACCAGTGTCAGGAGCCCTAGGAATTGCTACACAGGAAGGTCTGGGGAGGACCAGGGAGCCATGGACACAGGTTCTGACCAGCATGGAGAGTCCACCCCTGCCCTTGCTCAACACCTGCTTGACCTCACCTCTCATTCTCGCTGAGCTGCTCCAGGGCCCAGAACTAGGCCCTGAATTGCTCCTCAGGGTCTATTTGATATTTCTGGGCAGCCTCCTGCAGAAACACTATCTCCTCCATTAATTTCTGCTCCTGGGGCCAGAGGGAAGGAGAGGATGCAGACACTGCCTGAGTGGGGGTGAGGAGTGGGTCAGGTGACCTGTCCTGAGTCTGCACATATGGGCACTGTCTTTCCCCCTAATTCCATCCAGGCCCTTCCTGTGCTCAGAGACGGGCATTCACCTTCCTCCAGGAAGGTATCCTTGATGCCACACCCTACCCCCAGCCACCAAGTGGAGGGGTCTCCCACTTCTGTTCCCAAACTCTCCCAATAAATGGAAGATGCAGGGATGGAGCCCAGGAGTGTGCTGGCCAAGGTATCTATGATTGTCACTCCTTTCTGCTGCCCCAAAGGAGGGCCCACCACTGCTCACCTTCTTCTTTTTTACTAAGTGGATCTGATTCCCCTGGAAGGCAGACAGCCAAAGTCTATCAGAAAGAGGCTCCTGGTGCTCACTTCGGCAGCACATAAACTAAAATTGGAAAGATACAGAGAAGATTAGCATGGCACCTGCACATGGATGACACACAAATTCAAGAAACGTTCCACATTTTTATGAGAAGAAGAAATAGGGAGAGAAACCTAGCCATACAGAATTAGAATGGCAATAAATAAGTACCTATCAATAATAACCCCACATGAAAATGGATTAAATGTTCCCATCAAAAGACTCAGGGTAGCTGAATGGATACAAAAACATGACCCAACTATATGCTGTCCACAAGAGACCCACCTCAAAACAAAAGACACACAGTGGATGAGAGTAAAGGGATAGAAATAATTTTTTCATGTAAATGGGGAAAAAATTCAGCTGGAGTAGCATTACCCATATCCAACAAAATAGACTTTATAATGAAAGCCATCACAAGAGACAAAAAGTCACTACATAAGAGTAAAGGTATCGATCCAATAAGAGGATATAACCCTAGTAAACATATAAGCACCCAATATAGGAGCACCTACGTATATAAAAAAAATACTTCTAGAGAACTTTAACCGAGAGATCGACAACAATACAGTCATAGTAGGGGACTTTAACACACCTCTCACTTCACTTTGTTCCAGACAAAAACTTCATAACGAAACAGAGACTCTAAAGGACACATTGGATCAGGGGGATTTAATTGACATTTATAGAACATTTTACCCCAACGCAGGAGACTATACATTCTTCTCAGGTGCACATGAATCATTCACAAAGATAGACCACATGTTAGGA